GTTACCTAGGTCCTCTGGGGTTTTAGGTCTTGGAGAGTTTCATACAACTACAATGTGTTTTGATTATATCTCTTTCCCAGTTCTTTCCAGATCCACTTTCCTTCCCTAGCCACCTTTACTTACATTTTAAATATTATTTTCCATTTGTGTTTGCTTGTGCTTGTGTGTGCATGCATGCGTGCGTGCGTGCGTCTGTCTGTCTGTCTGTCTGTCTGTCTGTCTGTCTGTCTGTCTGTCTGTCTACCTCTGTGTGATTTGTACACATAGTACAGATGCCCATGGAAGCCAGAGGAGTCAGATCTCTCTGGAACTGGAGTTAGAGGCAACTGTGAGCCAGGCATTTGGGGTGCTGGGAACTGAACTTTGGTTCTCTAGAACAGCAGTATGCACACTTAACATCTAAACCATCTCTCTAGTCCTATCCTAACTTACAAAGTTGGCATTTATCTATTTATATTGAGTGTAGTTTCCTTATCATCTCTGTGGCCAAGTTGTCTTAGGATTGAAGACATTTGTCCTCTAATAGAAGCATATTTAATATGCTACAGTATTGGGTTGACAAAAAGAGACATTAATATGGTTACTTCTCTGAGGATTCATGCTTTCTTAGCCACTAGTGGCCAAACTTCAACATTTCATGTTTGGTGGGGTCTGGGGCCACTTATCTTTTATTCTTTCTCTTGGTAAATTCTGCAACTTTATTATAGTAACATTTGTTTCAGTAATTGAATTCTACATCTTTCTGAAGACATTTAATATCATCTTGACTTTGGAAGCAGTTCTTTTTAGGATAAAAATTTTAAATATGTATTGTTATTATATGGGTGGGCTACAGCTGTCCTGCAATATGCTTGTGGAGATCAAGGGACAATTTTATGGAGTTGGTTTTCACCTTTTATTTTCATGTGGGTTCTAGAGATGGAACTCCAGTCGCCAGGTCTGTATGCTTTTCCCAGAGTCACCCTGGCCCTGGCCACAGGTCATATAATAAAGACATTTTATTTTCTTTGTATTGTAATCTAAGTTTCTCTAACAATCTTGGCCCCCTTGTCTTATCTCATGCCAATTATCTTTTAAATATTTTGGTGTGGTATCTTGTGCAGACAGACATACACACTTTATGAGTTTATTTGTTCTACATCTATGTAATAAGCACCTCTTATATGCAAAGCACTGTAAATAGGAATGTAGCCATATACACAGCAGATCGTGTCCCTGCCTCATGAAATACTTGTTTTTGTCTTGGAGACTGGCACTAGGCACGTGAATAAGAGGCTTATATGGTTATAGGAGGTGATCAGTTCTCTAGAAAAGTAATTGAGCAAGGCAAAGGATTAGAGAATGACAGGAGCTGCTGTTTTAATTGGGCCTTTCTGTAGAAGTGATACTAAAAGGTACCTAACTGGAGTGAGGTGAGGGGATGCACCCAGGAGGAGTGCATTTCAGGTAGAGGAATCAATGAGCACTAAAGTCCTGGGACACATCAAGCTTTATTGATTTGACTGATAGCTAGGGAGCCATTGTGACTAAGGTAGAGAGAGGAGAGGAGGGGAGAGAGAGAGGAGAGAGAGGAGAGAGAGAGAGAGAGAGAGAGAGAGTCAAATAGCGGTGAGATCATAGAGGGTTTTAGAGGTCATAGCAAGGATTCCATCTTTTTCCTTAGTATGAAATTTTGAGCTAAGATGTGATCCATGTTGAAAGGGTTGTGCTACCTGTGTTGTTGGGGGTGTGAGTAGAAGCAGGCTGGCTAGTGGGTGCTGTTGGAGCAGTCCTGGCAGAACATCAAGAGCATGGACAAGGGAGGTACTATTAGCTGGGGAGAATCCGTTGGATGCAAGGTATTGATCAGGGTGGTTCCGGTAGGGTCTGCTGAGGAGTTACAGCTTCTTCACAGGCTTTTGGTACTGAGGGAATATTGGTGCCATTAGCTAAGATAGGGCACATGAGGAGCAGCAGCAGTTGTGGGGCTAGGGGAAGTTAAATTGTGGGTGTGATTAACTTTGAGATGCCAATTGACATAAGTAGAAATGTTGAATTAACAGTTATATGGGTCCAGAGTTCTAGGAAAATTTGGGACTTAAGTAAAAATTGGGGATAAGATCTAACATTTTCACAAGAAATTCTAACACTGTAATTTATACAGAATTATTTTTATTGCAGAAAAAACCATATGCCATCGTTGACACGAAGCCCAAAATATTCCCAGTAAGTCTGAAAACTCCAGTTTTTCAATTGTACATTATTCTCCTTCCCATTCTACAAATGATTGCCAAACTCATTAGAATAAAATGATCCTTTCTTACTGTCAGCTTAAGTGTGTTTGTGTATTACTGTAGGAGGAAAATGGAGGATAGTATGAAGTAGCAACTGAATTTGAAAATGAGGAGTGGACACTGTGTTTCTCAACCTTGTTTTCTGATCTTGACTTCTAGAGCAGAAGGAACTCCCAGCTTTTCATGAGAAGAGGACTATAGCATAAGCTTAAAACTATACCTATCGTTAATTCAAATTTAAATTAAGCTGAGTGTGTTGGTGTGCATCTTTAATCCCAGCATTCCTGTGCTGAGAGGCAGGAGGCTTTCTGTGAGTTGGGGGCCAGCTTGGTCTACATAGTGAATTTCAAGACAGCCAGTGATATATATATATATATAGTGAGTTTCTATCTCAAAATGATAAAGTATTTTATTATCTTGATTGTGGCGATGATCTCACACTTCAAAATTATACAGTTTAAATATATACTTTATTACATCTATAACTGCTTTAATTTTTAAGTCCTCATATAAACAATATGTATCATATATAATCAATTGGTATTTTTATTGGTTGTTGGTGAGGCTATTGTTTAGTATACTAAAACACGTTGTCTGTCTTTGCTTACAAATAATTAGTGAACCAGCATAACTGTAAATTCAAAAACTTCCATTAAGTAGCATATGTTACAGTAGTCTTATTATCAACAAGGGACTTTTAGGGAGAGCTGTCAAATTTGGCTAACTGTACATGTTGGAACTCTGCTTAAGGAAATAACAGGAAACTTCTGTTATTTACCTACATGTAATTGATGTGTGTCATACCCCAGGTAGTCTCAAATTAATAGGCCATTAATTTGCTGGTTTTGTTAGTTGCCTAATTAATATTTATTCTTTGCTTGCCTGGTTATTTATCTAGTTATGTGATTATTTTGCCATTCATGCACAAAGGATAAGACCAAGCTCTGTGGTTTTGTAGCATTTCTTTTATTTCTCTATTTTCTTTTTTTTTGCTACAGTGGTCCTTCCCTGTTTCTATGTTATTGACCACTTCCAGAATCTTCCCTTTTAAGAAACTGCATAATGGTCATCTCATTTAGAATAGAACAGGCCATGACAGTGTTGCAAGTCTCTGGCTTAACAAAACATGTTTGTTTCCTCCTTCCTGATGTGATAGATTGGTATGGGTCAGGCTCTCCTCCCCAGTCTGTCTCAGTCCTTATTAAAGTGAATGCAAGAGCAAAATTTTTTTTGTGTAGCTTTGGAGCCTATCCTGGCACTCGCTCTGGAGACCAGGCTGGCCTCGGAACTCACAGAGATCCTCCTGCCTCTGCCTCCCGAGTGCTGGGATTAAAGGTGTGCGCCACCAACGCGCCCAGCCGCAAAATAGCTTTTTTATGCAATGTCTGAACATGGAGTAGAGTGGAATAACCATGTTTTCAGACTTAATGTTCTATATCTTTTCTGAAAACTGTAGGTGGAGGTTGAGAGGGTAGGAGGGAGGAATAAAATACTAAATCTTGTAATGCTAAATATATTATCTTGATTGTGGTGATGGTCTCACAGGTGTATCCATACTTCATAATTATACAGTTTAAATATGTACTTTATTATGTCTATACTCTTTAATTTTTAAGTCCTAATGCAATAGTTTGATTAATCTTTTTAAACTATATATATATATATACATATAATATATACATCAATATAGGTGGAAATATAGCATCCAAATTGAGATTTTTAAAAAAATTATTTTTATTTTATGCACATTGGTGTTTTGCCTTCATGTATGTCTGTATGAGGGTGTCTGGTCCCCTGGAACAGGAGTTAGAGTCAGCCGTGAGCTGCCATGTGGGTGCTGGGAATTGAACCCAGGTCCTCCGGAAGAGCAGCAGTGTTTTTAACCACTGAACCATCTTTCCAGCCCCCAAATTTAAATGTTTTAAGTAAAATGGAAAATAATTTTGAAAGTTTGTTTATTTGAGATAGGGTCTCTCTATGTAGTCTTATTTGTTCTGGAACTTGCTGTATAGACCAGGCTGGCTTCAAATTTAGAGATCCACCTGCCTCTGCCTTTAGAGTACTAGGATTAAACGTGTATGCACTACCATGCCTGGCTTAATTGTGAGTTAACAAAATGTAAAGTATGCTTACAGTAATTTATTGTGTTAAATAGATGTTGAAACATTTTACAGTTTACTAAACATTTACTTGTTTTCCTAGGGTGATACAATTCTGGAGACTGGAGAAGTAATTCCGCCAATGAAAGATTTTCCTGATCAACATCATTAAAGAGCACTTAAAACTTAAAAGACTTGTGTAACAGCAAAAGTCTCTTCATATAGTTCGTATTTACTGAATCTGTTTCCTGGAAAAGTAACTAATAAAGCTTATTCTCAGAGTGTTGTTAATATTTCTTGAGACCGACAGTAAAAAAGACAAATACTAAAGAGCCATCAGCTACTTTTTTCCTGTCCGTTTTGATAAACAGGATGCAAAACACGTTTTAATCACGTGATAGGTTTGTTTACATACTGATGTGGCATGAGGTTATGAAGTGTTTGAAGCACTAGAATGAAAATCTATGATCTGGCCCTGTAGTGGTGGCACACGCCTTTAGTCCAAGCACTCAGGAGGCAGAGGCAGGCGGATCTCTGTGAGTTTGAGACCAGCTTGGTCTACAAGAGCCGGTTCCAGGATAGACTCCAAAGCTACACAGAGAAACCCTGTCTCGAAAAACAAAAAACAAACAAACAAAAAATCTATAACCTGATACAGAAAGAAAGGGCTGTTTGATCCATATGAAAAATTAGCATGCTAACGCGTATCACAAAAGACCATACACAATTTTGTATTGTGAATTTTACTTTTAAGTCTACATAGGTGCCATTTGAGGGACAAAACCAGGTTTTGCTGGGAACTACCAAAGTTCGTTCATTTCAAAGAATTTGTCTGGAAAAGCCTTCTGTAGCTGTCGTCGTGCAGCTACAGTTGATGCGTAGATGACGAATCCCCAGGAGAGCAAAACGATCACAAGTAGCAACTAAAAGAGGGGAGGAAAGGCGAAAAGAAAAATCAATGTGCTGGGTAGTTGGCCTGCTCAGGCCAGGTTACCAGCTAGCCTCAGGTGGGAGCAGCCTGTCAGGCACTAGGACCCAGGCCTGAGGCCAGGGCCCGATAGCCATGACGTCAGGGGCGGAAAAGCGTGTCCTCCAGGAAGAGGCGGAGTCGGGGGCGGGGCGTAAACGCTCAATATAGGAATGGGTTTTGGAGTTCCGAGCTGTAGACGAACAGTC